CGCGCTAAATGTCGTTGAAATCTTTCTCGCTGCATCTACGGTGTCCGTAATAAAATCACCGAGTTTATGCACTCTAACACAAACGATGCACATGGCACAAAATCTAAGAACGCATCTATTCTCATATGCTTTTGTTAACTGCGAGGCTGAATCTAATTACTACGGTCCAAACTCATGTAGACCCGTATATTTTCCTTCACCACTGCTTTTGTTTAAAAAGCGAGTAAAGACGGCAGGGCAGGTTAGCACTCGGTGTACATTGCCCTGTGCAGACAATGACAAGTCAGAATATATCACCTGAATCTAACCAGCCGAAGCCGACATTTAACCGCGTTTGAAAGTTCCGTTTGAATGCGTTATGGGGTGTTTATCTTCCCCTAGAGATTTATGTCGTCGGTCTTGGACTTTAATGGGGGAGGAGCGGCACATGCATACCTTTCATATTGTCGTCTGCCACACGACATCAGATGGACCATTAGTAAATACCACGCCGACATAGTTCACACGTGCTAAACTTTCATTCATATTAAGCAGTCCCTTGTGCCTTTCTCATGTAGGTCGTAGCAGCACAGTCTAAGTCGATTCGTTGTTTGACAACAACTTATCAACTGACAGAATCAGGGAGTGTATCGACCATTGAGAACACACAGGATATATCCGTGGTAATGCCTGGTCTTTTAACCACTTTAAGATTGGAGGTTCAGGATGATAATCAGAAGTTTTCCATCGGTAGATACATGACGCCGGATTCTTAACTGCACACTTAAATAGTAGGATTGATCAACTAATCCCGCTCTTTAACAGGGATGCGCCCGCAATGATCGAATAGATTGAAGAAAAAGTAAATAACCTTTCGAATGGAGGACTTGTGATGCTGTGGTGCAAACGATAAAGCACACCATTCTTGAAACGCTCGACAGGTTGTGTTCAAGGTACCCGATCAGGCTGAATCATGCAGCTCCACAGAAGTTCCAAACACGGGGACATGCTTCCAAATTAGGTTCGAGTACAATGCAAGTGGCCTGTAGACTCATATGGCATTCCGGTTGTTTCAGTCGGCTCCTTATACCTTAATTTCATGGCGGAATCCATTTGACGGGCCAAACATAACTGTTTCTTATGCTTCCGGGTCTCAGCTAAGTTTACTAATTAAGATACCATCTTCCGGTTCCTTATTTTCACATCTCCTAAGTTTGAGTATGATGATTACGGTGGAATGCCTATAAATTTAACTGCGCCGCTCGACGCATACTTGAAGCTTCTCAACTTTGGACTTCGCACTCTACAGTAAGTATCATCATGAAAACTGCCTTCTTTAACTACATTTCCGCTGTTCCCTCCCAGCCAATGAGGCACGTTTGCATGTGTCTAACGGAAAGTATGTATAGCATGTATACACATCCCAGATAACCGCAATGAGCTAGAGTCAGATCGACAATGTACCATTCACTCGTGTTCATTCATGGGGTTTGGGAGTCATTCGACCCGGGAACAAAATATCGAACGATACCCGGAATGTCAAGGTGTTGATACTGCGGGAAGTACTTCTGATATCAGTCTGATTTCATAGCACCTCTTGTGCATCACATTTGTGGAACCGCCTCAAAGCGTGTCTACGACTTTCTGATACGGAAGATCCAGCAGTGACTTTAGTCATGCACAGTGTTTAATAACGTGTATCGTAATTCGTATCAGTTCAACAACTAAGGGATCCAGTTTACCAGTGATGGGTCTGTGCGTTTGTAGCCCGCTGAAATCTTGGGTTGTGGAACGCTTTTTACCCGATAAGAGTGTAACTGATGATGTACTCCGGTGATTATGGAAACCTTGCTGATATTTGAGGACTCTGTAAACTACTGAATGGTGAAAAACTCCGATACAGTGTTCGGGGCAGTGACGCAGAAACCATCAGTCATCGTGGCGGATAAATTGCGCTCTTAGTATGTTCAACCTCCACAATCGCCGACTAGCTTGTTTTCCTTCGGTTTACTTTTTTCCTCGGGGCTTGTGCTACATTAGTTTATTTATCATAAGAAATGCAAATTGCACTTGGAACATCAACCAGATTAGGACCATTGAATCCAAGAGCTGGTCGCTACTTGCGCTTCCTTCAAACTGGCATTACAAGGTAGCGTGCGTTTGTGACGGACACGTGACCGACGGTGTCCATCGTTCAGTTCAAAAGCGATAGGCTAAAATTGAGCAATAAGTTCCGACTAGTTTTTCTTCAGGCTTATGCAGTAGTAAATATCGGAGCAGTATTACCTTACATCTGTGAATGCAAAGTGGAAACAATTTATTGGACCCTTTGCAGCGGGTCATGTGGTCAGAGTAGAATGAATTGGCAAATTCTGTTCGCTATCTGCTGCAATTTAGCAACAGCACAAAGCTGATTGCCTACCAATTCAACTTGGCCAAGCAATACACCTGAAACCTTTGCTCTCTTCTTGTGTGCAGGACATGGAAGGTCCTCGCAATTTACATTGTTTCTGTCCTCACTCAATGTGTGCTTACAAACGCCCTGATGTTACCCTAACGCACCTACATTGCGAAATATAGCTAGTATACATTGCCGTACGATGCAGTGTCAAAACGCTGCACCAATAAGAATTGCTATGAACAATCGGAACTAGCTCTTTTACGGAAGCCGTAATGTTAACAATATGATAAGTCTACCCAAACGCCTTTCATCTTATCACCATCGCATCTCTTCACCATCTTTGGGTTTCTCATTCTGGTCATCCCACGAGACTTGTTAAGCACCTGCTTTTTCAAACCAGTAATATACCATTGTCCCATCCGTGTGGGTGACCATGGCATCTGCAATGAGTGTACCATTTTCGCGTTTGTACGCGCAGATCGGATCTCGTTAAACGCATGCATCTCACCTCCCCAATAGCAAGCGGCCTCGATCTTAGTCCATGGATATGCGCTGCTCGTGTTTTGTAGAGTAGCTGCATCTCAGTTTGTTTATTCGTTAGTTTGATGCCCAGCACTGAGAAAATGGCTAGTTATTGAGCTGCAACTTGTCTCATCTATGTGATTGTTGAGACAACTCGGCAGATGTTCCTTGATTGTCTTAGTGCCTGTTCGTACTTCCTACAGGGAGAGGTAGACTGATAGATTACCAATGATTAGAGATGGCCAGGCACCCGGCCTTTAAATCTGAAAACAACTGGTGGTTTGCTCGTTAAAACCACATTCAGGTGGGTCCCATTAAAGGTTTTTTTTAGCAACTTTGCACTTGTCTGCACATGCATATATCAACAACATATTTGCCTTTGAATGGGAGGGTCGGCAGCAACTGTTTGCTACGATTATTTGTGTTAACACGTTTTGATTGTCCGATCCTTCATGCAGAATATATTATACACATAGCTTGGGAAGAAATTTTAACCAGAGACGATCGGTCATATTTGGCAACCCTCCAGCATTCTCTTAAAGATATCTGCTGCTGGTAGTTGAAGCTGTGGTCTCACTGTCACGCCATCAACTTGTCTGTACAGCTCATTGTCGAAGTACAAACAGTGATCAAAGGTACAACTGAGCAACAGTTGTTTTAAATAGTTTTTTGATGCGCCAATATTTGCTCCTCCTGTAAGCGCATAGAGAATTCACTGTACCCATCAGTGGTACATTGATAAACACTGAGACAATGACGAAGGATAACCTTTGATACGCTATGCTATTCACGTTTCGAATTTCATCGACGAAACGAGACGTGTCGTTAAGACGGTGCCGCGCAATTATTTGTCTGATGGGATCCAGTAATTTTGTCAAGCATTGTGCAATGTGATGCAGTGAACTTCTCATGTCGAGTATGGGCTTTAGTAGTGTGCTTGATTTATATATATTTGGAACGCCATAAAAGCGAGGAATGATGGAGTCCATTGTTTTCAGCTGTTCTGTTTCTTCCCCTTAGCCCATCGCTTTTGTTTTTCTCTCTCTCTGATCGACAATATATGGGCAGCTTACATCATTCCATTGGTGTACAATAAAGACAAACGCATCAACGGTGAGCACCAACTTACTGTTCGAGAATGACAACTTCAGCGAAATACAAAACTTGAAGACAATTAACAGGCACAATAATGTTGTGGCCATGCAGTAGTGAAGCGAGAATCCCCTTTATTCTACTGAAATTTTGCCTTTGTTATAAAATAATAGATTTGCGATACCCTTTCACTGACTAAATGCTTCCATGTAAGTAACCTGATGGGTCATACTGCAAAGAAATTCGGTATCTGTGTGCAGTTGCAACGAGATAGTAGACCATGTGAAACTGGAGTGTTAAGCAGGATGAGAATCACAGTGTTTTGACTCCTAACTGGTTCTCAGTAACAATAAATTCACCCTACTTTAAGCTGTGTTGTGGCACCCAGTTGAACTTGGACTATTGTTGTTGGAACCAACTTTCTCGGATGCAAAGTTAAAAGAACGCATTAATATACCCTATCTTTGAGCAGCAACTGTAATTTTGATGGAGACTGGTACACGTTACTAGAAAATATTGATGAGTTACACTGGGATATTTTCACCCTATATATATTGACACTACCAAGTCAACATTTTCTCAGCAATCGGCAGTACATCGTCTAGATGTCAACTATGAAACCGGCGCTTGTGGAAGTACCAATGAAGTTGTGGCACTGCTTGCCGAAAAGACTCGCCTATCATACACTACAGGGATGAAGCAGAAATTAGTCAGTCGATCAGTGGCCTTGACTGCCTATTTCACTTATATCAGCGAGTATTATCAGTATATGCCAGGATCGATCTCACTGAAAGCTTAAAGGTAGACAATCCTCACTTTCCCTACGAGTGACTCTGGGATACGTACAGTGACAGGGATACGTAGTGTCAACAGGGAGAAAAGTTAGAGTGCTAATGCGCACGCAGACTGAAAGTTTAACTGGCGCACCAGATCTAGTCATACTTTAGTTGTGCTGTATATCATAATTACTTCATTGGTGAGCAAGTAAATTTCGCCTCCTTTTCAGCCCAACTGCAAGGTTAACGTGGACCGGTAATGAAGAAGTTCACCTTGAACCCAGGAACCGATAATGAATCGAACCAGAGCGGGTACAGCTCCCAAGCTGCCAGTGAACTGGCGCATGAAATCGAGCTACCTCGTATCACGACAGTCAACGTCTTTTTCCCGGACTTAAACAGACACGTACCATTCCATTTTGTCAAATGTTATCCTACCTTTCTACAGACCGTGCTAAGGGTCATTGGTGACGCGGTGCTGTGGGACACTAAACTCAAACTAATTAAGGCATTCGGTGGTCATTTTCCGGATTGTTACAATATGGGACTTTATCTTCCAGGAGGAGGAGGGAAGTTGGGAAAGTTTTTGGAAGAAGAAAGGCTGCTATCAGAATATACCGGAACAAGTAGTGAAATCACATTGCAAGTAAGCTTCCGAGTTCCACGAATGCGCGCTTTGAACCAACAGTTCGTTCGCAAAACTCGACACGTCAGATTGAATGCGGGCCACACGGTGTTCCCGGCAGAACATTTTTCAAAGGTGTGTTCCTTTGCTTCTTTGATGACCACCTGCTTCAGGATATGCAGAAAAGGTTTTTACGTCTGATTGAGCGCGGAGATTACAAGAAAGTTGAAGATATTTTAGCCAAGGGTTTTGATCCAAATTTTCATTGTCCGAAAACCGGAGGTGAGGATATCATTCCCGAACACATCATGTAATCTTTGTGCAATTAGAGACACCTTTGACTATCGCAGTGACGACCTCAAAGCCGCATAACATGATTAGTCTACTCATCTCCGGAGGAGCATATCGTGATTATTACTCCAAGGCAGGATTAACTCCCTTACACAAGGCCGCCAAAGTGGGAAATTTTGAGGCTGTGAAGGTGAGTACCGCACACCATAGTCACCTTGTCTTGCCGTTCGTCAGAGTCTTCTAGATTTCGGTCAGTCCCCGAACACAGCCGATATCACTGGACTTAGCCCACTTTACCACAACGTCATGCATGACCCTGACACAAAGATATGCCATCGCCTGCTGTACGAACACTCAAATGTGGGTACCACCAACCGAGAAGGATTTCAGGAGATACACCAAGTGAGTTAACATCCTCTCATCACACTTCCTTTGACACTGTGTAGTTGTGAGTTGTAATGAGTGGACGATAGATGCCCACAATGTCCGAATCCCTGTTCCGTTTGGTGTCTTTCGCCCAGTATCGTACTTCCATCGCAATTAACATTTTGGCTAGCTCATACTACTAGGTGTTGTATTTTGGAAAATTGACTCGTGTATCTGATTACTCCCGAGGTTAGTCGCAAAGCGGTCGTAGTCCTGGGACATTATTCCGAAGCACTCATTATACAAATGGATTGCGACCCATGATTCCAATATGGACCATGCTTCACTTTGAACTGAGGTGACTGAGTGGTACTGCTTTTTATTAGTAGTCGTACTCTACCGAGTTCCAGCGACAGTGCTGACTTCTGCCTGATGAGTAGGAACCAGTACGAAATCGTCTGCAACTTTATTCAAGCATGAACTCTTTCTGTTGATCACCGAAGTGTTCTGTTTCAACTAGGTGGCGTATACGTATTGATCAACTGACCAAAAATTAACACTTGTTTTGTCCGCTCCATTGGCTGAATTGCGTCATATGGTGTTTCGTGACTAAATCCTGAGAAGCCTCGCTAACTGTTGCCACTAATTAATCTATCGTGCGTGGGAGGGTCATGTTAGGTCAAGTAATATCAGCTAGTTATCGACAAAGCAAGGCAACTCATTGTATTGATTCTCCACGATGATCTCGCGATTTAGTAAGATGTCTGAAACAGTGAAGCGCTGTTCGGTCGCACAATTTCACTCCGAGTGGCTCTTTTACCTGTCTGTTTTCAATTCGTGGGACCAATCCAGTTGAGACTGGTCACTGGATGAATGGTTTCCAGGCAACTAGGTAATCTCAGTTGGCATTCAAGTAAACAACCAAATCAAGGGTAAGAACAGGGTTGATTTCAACCTATTGTAGACTTTGAACGTGGAGTGGGGTGTTGGCAGAAAGCAGCTCCGAAGCTTGCCACTTCGGATGCCATCCCAATGATCGAAAAGGCATGTGTTTGCTTAAAACAAATTGCAGCCTCAGTCGAGATTACCTGTCGCAATCCGTACGCACAGCGGGTACTCGGAAGCCCAAATAATGAGTTCCAGCTGGGTCGTTTACTCAGGATATCTTATGCAACAGCGAGTGTAAGTTGGGATGGTCGAGCGCAGCTGTGTCGATCGTTGATACGATATCCTAAGGGGTGACACTTTCGACAATGTGCTCCATGTTCGCGTTCGACTGAGTTGAACTTTGTTAGATGGATTTACCCGAATTATTATTCAAATTCAGGCTTTTGTTTAGCGCTTTAGTGCATTGGCCGCTAGGCGAATGTAACTGGGGAAAAGGAAGCTGCAGTGCCGAAACTCGGGTTTCTTTAGAATTATGTCTTGAAGCACCTTCATCTGCTTTGCATTTCGAAGGCCACTAAGCGAAAGTCGAATAGAACACAATGTTTTGATGTAACTGTTTCAAACGCCTTTGGGGTTGTTTTGTTTTATTAATGTTTCGGAAGCAGTATAACCGCAGTTTTAAGAATAGAGAAGGAAAAACGCTGAAAGTTAGTTATTTAGCCTCTTAGCAATAAAGCTGATGAATTTATGCTACAGCTAACCTCTATCCAGATTAATTTAATTAGGTCAGAAAAGAGTTAAAAGTACCTTGCGTAATCCAGGGTGCTTAGGTAATTGATTTCCATAACACGTTCCTGTAGATTCCTACTATAGCTGTATGTTACCAGTCTACTTTGACTGCATTGAGTCAGGCGCCTCGGAGCAATGGCTGAAGATATACGTTTAATACTACTTTGTTGATTGGCAGGAGCCGAAATTTAATTACATTCTAAACTCAAATGGCACATCGCGATAATCCTTTAATGTATCTCATCACATCCACTCTGCCATCACCAATAATTTACTGCCAAGCCGTTAATCAATGATCAAAATAAAGGGACCCGCTCTTTGTACAAAACTCTTTCCTGACAGAGTTTATGACAGGGCAGCACATTGGGGACATAGTATTTTTCCTTGTCACATAAACGACTTGATTTACAATGTAGCATTGTCTGTTGTGCTTTGACGAGCTTAAATGCCAATATTATCTTCTGCTGCTGAACGAAAGCACTCGGTTCAACAACTGAAGTGTGGTTCAACCCCGCACGCTCGCACGGTTGCTTCAGATGGGCGGGTGCAGATATCAGCTGACTAAGTAAGCCGAGCGCTATTCACGACAATGGGACGATCCGTGCGAACTCGTTAGATTGGGTGGAAATCGACTTGAACGACACATTCGGTACCTTCTTCTGACTACATGCTGGACGGTGACTATTTTTCTTTCTTCAGCTGGTGAGGAAATGTCCACATGGTTTTGAAGTGTTCTTTGAGCCTGCGGCTGATTACGAGGTTTTTTGGCAACTGAGGCGAACAGAGCATGTAAACCATGGCCATGCTTGTGCTAAAAGTACTATAAACGAAGTCCTGATCACAATTCCTGCGGCTGATGTATGGTGGATAACCTCAGCGAAATGGAACAGGTACCTAGCTACTGGCATCAACACGGCTAGCCTATTCTATTGAATAGACAGAGATAGCCACTAAAGAGAATATCGACATTTATACGGAGAAAGACTTGCAAGATGTACAGAACAATTAAATAAATTGAACCTGTGTGACAGATGATAGAACATCCACCTGGCTCAAAAGTTTGGTTTATATCCATGGAAGTCATATGTTGTGAACCTGTGAGCAAAATATAGGATCGCCGTCAGTCTCCTCAAAATTTTTGGTTGTGGTAATTGGGGGAACTGCGGTTCCTCAGTGTTTAACTTGTTGGAGCGGATACGCAAATGTACCAATATTGACTAGACCAGTGTCGATGTGTTAAGGGTGAAATGACCTGCTCCTCGCCAAATCACGGAAAATGCATAGACCAACATCGCAATGTTGGCAACCGGAGACGAAGATGTCACCCGGATAATGGATGGTGAGTGACAAATGCGCCGGCAACAATAGTTGTTTTCCGAAGTGTGAATTGCAACGAAACACAATGCTTAGAGGCTTAAACAAAAAATATGGGAACTTTCTGTGACTCAACAGAGAGCAGATGGCAATTCAAGGTGTATTTTTTAGGTTTTGTATTACTCTAGATATTTTCTTTTCAAGCATTGTACTTCGAACAAAGCTATCGCGTTGACCAGTTTTCGCAACTTCATCCGATGCACCCATTGTTTGGATCCCATGTCTGCAGTGTGATGCCTCTGGTGCTTCTTCTGGCATCATGGGTGGAGGCTAGGGTACGGAGAACCCAACGCGATTGTTAAGCGTTGGTGGCAGACAGTGAGGCTTGCGATTCCTTAACTGATGGAAAGTTATCTTGGAAAGTGCCGGTCAGCATACATGCCATTCCACTTCGTGACGATAACATAGAACATTCTTAACCAATTAAGGATGAGCATGGAGCACTCGCATAAGCTCCTAACGCGGTTGGCCGACACATTTTGTTCCATAACTTAGAACCGGCAGAGCTGATTCGCGAGAATTTGAACGAGTGCAATGCAATACGTAGCTGAATAGGAAAATGGTTGAAGTTCCAAATGGCCTACTGGGGATCCTATGTAATATGTAGTATGTAATATGTGTGTATGTATTATGTAATATGAATGTATGTAGTATGTAATATGTGGTAACGCGAATGGCCCTTGAAGTACCACGGCGAACAAAACGAAAGTGATTCTAAATGAAGTGCCTTTGCACTTACAAATGCGCATTTGATTTGTTGTGAACAGGGTCTCGTCGTCTTAATTGCTTTTGCTGTTGTCGCCGTGGTACGAATCCTGCCTCTTCCTAACATTTATTCCGAGCCGGAAACTTAGAACCTTGGTGGGAACCCTTTTCAGGGGCCGGGACTTTCAATCTATCGTTAGAGAGCCTCATCAACTACTGTATTCGCCTGTGTCCCGGCCATCCAATAGCATTTAGAAATAAAGAAACACTTTTATAGTGCTACCGCATGCCAATGATATGGCAACCTAATTGACTAGAAACTCAATCCGGTTGCGCGCATGAAGCGGAAGTGAGTGTTTAACGTGCGCTATCACCACAGGCAGCATCAAGCTCATATATCGGTTAACGTGGCTGACAAAACTCGTTGGTTTGAGTAGCTAGGCATCTCCATCTTTCCTGTGGGAGATACTGAGAAGCCTGTTTTCGGACAGCAGTCTTATGTTGCACTGCCAAGTAACCTCCTAATGGGGCTTAAGAGGAAAACTCCGTTGACATCGTTGTAAATTACTGACCATAGTCGTCTTCAGCGCTGTTAGATCAGCACTATGCGCTGATGGCAGGACGTTGACAATACATCCGGTCACGATGCTTGATTTTTGACTTCGAGGCTGTATCCAGAAGCAGGGCTCGGATATGTGTACCCACAGACAAATGACTGATGTTGGACCGACACTAATGCTGAGCTAGAGACGATCCACGAAAAAGTCTCAAATATGCATATCAATCCTGAAGTGTTCTTTGAGGTCTATGGAACAAATAGAGAAGTGTTACAGTATTGCCCCAATGACTGAGTCAAAGACGCCACTGCTAATGGAAATTCATGTAGGCCGTTTTTGGTAAACATCAAGGAATATTTCAAACGCTTATTCGTTCAGGCTCCAGAAAGTGAAGGACATTGCCTAAGTTATATACGGTACATCCATTAGCATATGGTGATTGAAACATGGAATAATTGGTGCCCTTTGGCTACGGAGGAATTGAGGAAACCGAAACGGAACGATCTTTGCGGCAGAGATAATAATCCGGAGAACAGCCAATTCCATTGCTTTGACGCACTTGTCACTTAGTGTAAGGAAGTATCTACACTGTATTAGAAGCAAATCAAAACGGATCCTTCTGAGGGTAAGACACTTGATAAGTCACGATGAACCTAGCTGTCCAAGAGGGATGTGTACCATGTTTACTGATAAGTCATCCGAGTCGCCAAATCGAATCTGCGA